ATGTGCGATCTTATGGTAGACCTGATCTATTCATTACGTTTAAATGCAATCCGAAGTGGGAGGAAATCACTAGCGAATTATCTTGCGGGCAAACATCAGCACATCGACACGATATAACAGCACGTGTCTTCAAGCAAAAATTAAAATCTTTAATGGACTTCATTGTAAAGATGCATATTTTTGGAGAAACACGATGTTGGATGTACTCAGTCGAATGGCAAAAGCGCGGTTTGCCGCACGCCCACATTTTAATATGGTTAGTTGAAAAAATTACACCTAATCTCATTGATAGTGTAATTTCAGCTGAGATACCTGATCCCAACAATGATCCTCAATTGCATGATATTGTAATAAAAAATATGGTTCATGGTCCGTGTGGAACCATTAATCCAAATTCTCCATGCATGGTGGATGGAAAGTGCACTAAGAAGTATCCCCGGCAGTTGCTTAAAGAAACTATATCGGGTATTGATGGCTATCCGCTTTATCGGCGACGATCAGTGGAAGATGGTGGTAAAACAACTACAGTGAAGGCCCGCAACATCGACGTTGATATTGATAACCGCTGGATAGTACCGTATTGTCCGTTACTTTCAAAAACATTTAAGGCACATATCAACGTAGAATATTGCAGTTCGGTAAAATCAATTAAATACGTTTGCAAATACGTCAACAAAGGATCCGACATGGCAGTATTTTCCTTCCGAAATCCAAATGATGAAGTAACGAATTATCAAATGGCTCGATATATCAGCAGCAATGAAGCAGTTTGGCGAATTTTAGGATTTCCAATACATGAACGTCATCCAACTGTTGTTCATCTTGCAGTACATCTTGAAAATGGACAACGTGTGTATTTTACTGAGGCAAATGCACAAGAAAGAGCCTTATCACCACCAAGTACAACATTAACATCATTTTTCGATTTATGTAGAAATGATTTGTTTGCCAAAACCTTGCTTTATGCTGAAGTCCCAACATACTTTACTTGGAACGCATCATCAAAAAAATTCCAACGCCGTAAACAAGGAAAAGCAGTTGAAGGATGGGAAAATCTTTATTCCACAGATGCTATGGGTAGGATATATACGGTTCATCCTCAGAATGCAGAATGCTTCTATTTAAGAATGCTTCTAATAAACGTTCGTGGACCAACATCATTTGAAAATTTGCGCACAGTGGATGGCCAAATATGTGCAACGTATCGTGAGGCGTGTCAAAAATTGCAATTGCTGGAAAACGATGATCATTGGGAAACGACACTTGCGGAAGCTTCGGCTACAAGGCATCCACGCCAATTAAGAGCATTATTTGCAATTATATTGGTTACTTGCTCACCATCTAATCCAAAATTACTTTGGGATAAATTCAAGGAGGATATGGCGGAAGATATATTGCATCAACATAGAGCTGATAATAATGATCCAGCAATGGAATATTCTGATACAATTTTTAATGAATGCTTAATTTTATTAGAAGACAGATGTATGGAAATTAAAAATAAACTTCTCATTGAAGTTGGAATGATCGCCCCAATTCGTCCCATTAGTGATCCCTATGAAAGAGATTTAATTCGAGAAACCGATTACCATCCACAAGAATTGGAAATTTATCTGGGAGAAAATTTGCCAAAGTTACAACCTGAGCAAAAAAATGTCTACGATTATGTAATGGATGCTATAATAAACCAAACCGGTGGTTTATATTTCATAGATGCACCCGGTGGAACAGGAAAAACATTTCTAATTTCACTGATCTTAGCCAGTGTCCGGTCTCAAGGTAATATTGCGTTAGCTATTGCATCTTCAGGAATTGCCGCAACACTTTTGGATGGTGGAAGAACTGCACACTCTGCACTGAAATTACCATTAAAATGGCAATTTTCTGAGGATTACACATGCAACATCACAAAGAATTCATCAATCGGTAAAGTTTTACAAACGTGCAAAATCATAGTATGGGATGAATGCACCATGGCACACAAAAAATCTTTAGAAGCCCTTCACCGCACCTTACAGGATTTGCGGAACACCAGCCGATGAATTGAATGCATGCCTTAAATCATCTTCTCTTTGGAGTCATGTTAAAACTCTTAAATTAACTACAAATATGCGTGTAGCTCTACAAAACGATACATCAGCTTTACAATTTTCTAAGCAATTGCTAGATTTAGGAAATGGAAAAATTCCAGTCAATCCAGCAACAAATTGCATTACATTTCCGCCCGACTTTTGTAAACTGACACAATCTATTGAAGATCTAATTATTTCCATATTTCCAAATATAGACCGTAATTTCACAAATACGCAATGGTTATGTGAACGTGCATTATTGGCTGCTAAAAATGTTGACGTTAACTATATAAACAACATTATCCTGAATAGAATCGGTGGAAGTATAAAAACTTATAATTCAATAGATACCGTAATGGAAGAAAATGATGTCGTCAATTATCCAATTGAATTCCTAAATTCACTTGATCTTCCAGGTTTTCCACCACATGTGTTGCAATTGAAAATTGGTGTACCTATCGTTTTATTGCGAAACATTGATCCTCCAAAGCTATGCAATGGAACTCGGCTTGCTGTGAAAAAATTACACAATAACATAATCGAAGCGACAATCATAACTGGAAAATATAAAGGCGAAAACGTAATGCTACCACGAATTCCAATGATAACGTCCGAACTTCCATTTAACTTTAAACGTTTACAGTTTCCTGTTCGATTAGCCTTTGCAATGACAATTAATAAGTCTCAAGGCCAATCTCTTAAAGTATGTGGATTGAATTTAGAAAATCCGTGTTTCTCACATGGTCAGCTTTATGTTGCATGCTCCCGAGTGGGAAATCCGTCAAATCTTTTTATTTATGCTCCTGACGGAAAAACTAAAAACATCGTCTATCCAAAAGCATTAGAATAATAATTAAGATAATAATATTAGTATTAAGAAAATTATAAAACATGTATTTAACGTAGTTGATAGTTTGTTATAAGCGAGAAATTAACGAATTAAGAAAAATATACTCAATAAATCCAAACCTAAAAAAATATAGATTTTTTTATTTATATAAATTTGACATATTTTTTTCCTATCATAAAGGCACCGAATCGCACCGGGTTAAGCTATATGTACATAAAATACAAACATATGTACAATATGTGTATTGAAATAAAAAGAAATGATTGACATTACAATTTTTATTTTTATCAGTTTGTGAAATCATGTTTATTTTGACAAAAATGTTGTTTGGTTAAAAAACAGACAAAAATATTGAAAGAAATTATAAATCTTTTGGCCACCCGCCGTAGACACGTTAAATGTCGGGTAATGATCGATCTTAAGATGTGCAAAATAGTTATTTATCCTATTAAGTGTCGTTATTTGTAGTGTTAATGAGATCATATAAATACCAGGATTTACCTAATTTCAACCCTTATAATTAGTATATATTGAAGCTGCATATTGGTTGGTATTCAAAATTAACGTTGATAACTTTAGTAGGTGCAGCGAAGCGCCACGGGTCCAGCTAGTATATATATATATATATATATATATTCGTCCGATTTAGTGTAAATAGTGTCGTCCGATTTTACACAAAATTGACACAAACTTTCCACAACGTCTCCAGTACGTTAGAATAAACTAGAAGTTGGTTTAAAATTATGAATTCATTTTGTCCCTGGTCCTTTAAAAAATCGACGTCTTTTAGGTATCATCTGTTGGATATATCGAAAGTGGTGAAGGGTATCATATAGTCGGCCCCGTCCGACTTTACAACTTTCCTTACTGGTTTCTTCTGATTTAAAGTAAATGGTGCAGCAAGGATCCAAAATATGGCCGATAGGTACAAAATATAGTATTTTTGGAGTGTTCTATAACAAAAAATCATCTTGAATAAAATGTTGGTAATGGTCGACATTTGGTATATCCTCTATTTAAAAATCCCTCCCATTATTCATTACATCGAAAGTCTTTAGAAACTTCATTGTTAATATGTAGTCACTCTTCTCGCTGTGGCATAGTGCCATGTGGGATTGGAATATTAATTTCGAATAAGAGTGTAACTGTCATTTTAAAATTTACTAATTTCTACGGTTGAGGTTTGCCAAAATTCGAAGTCGTCGGATATATAGATTTCATTGTTGCTATATTTTCAAATATGTTATTCAAATGGTTAATAAATTCTAATCGAAATAACAATATTTCTACAAAAAAAAATCCTCTTCCATAAAATGCTAAACAGAATAAGTCCCCTACAAACCTCAAACATTTTGGAGATAAGTGTGTAGACCATTTATTTTTTCCAAAAACATTTCATTAATTCAAATAATTTCTTTTAGTTGTTTTTGTTGTTGTTCTTGTTGATTTTGTATTTTACCGAATTCCAAAACGGTATCCAGCCGTACAATATCAATGCCAAAGTTTTTACAATTTATTTACACAGCATTCATTATATTTTACTCGTGCTTATGAATGAATATTAACATTTCAATTCGGTTATTATTTCAGTCATTGCTGCCAGTGATGAGCAAATTTCATACAAATATTGACTTAAAGTTATTTCTGCCGAAAAGCAAAGCAAAGCTGTAGGAACGAAAGGAACGAAAAAATATTGAAATAACAAGCCAAGACGAAAACATTTGCTATCACCTCCTTTTCAACACCAGAACTCAAAAGGAAAACTTTTAGCAGTCGTGTGTTATTTTTTCTTGTTTGCCCTTGCCCAAACAAAATTAAGATACATTTTCCAAGGGATCTTATAACAAGAACAACAACGACGACAGCGGAAAGTCCTACCCCATCCCCCAAACCAAAATCCAGGCTGTTTGAAATATTTATGAAAAGAAAATTGTGTCTATTATTTTATTAAGGTATGTTTCAGTTCAGTTCCAAAAACCAAGAACACTGCAGAAAAAAGTACAAGAAGAAGCAACGGCACCGAGCGAGTGTGCGGTGTAGGAGTACAGTGAGCCTGCATAAATTTATTCCGTTGCGGCCATGACAGAGGCACATGGCTAAAAGATGGCCAAGCCCCTGCATTGTATGATGATGATGAAGAAAAGAAAAGGAAAAACTTTATTAAAACTTTTCCCCCAGTAAGCCTTTTTTATGAGATTTTGTTGTTGTTATTTTGGTTCATTGTGGTTGGTGGGTGATGGTTAAAGGCTTCAAATTAAGCCTGGGTTTTTTGCTTTTTGTGTGTGTTTTTTTTTTCTTTTGCAACTGCCATTGTCGTCTCAAGCGGAACAAAATGTTAACATTTAAAGTTATTTTTTTCTACTGCTTCTGTTGTTGTAGTTATCGTTGTTCTTAAAGTTTGGTCTGTTATTTAACCCCATGTGGTTGATAAAAAACCGAAATGTTAAAGACTCCCTGTTTAACGCCAATGATGGTACCTTTAGTCACTAACCACCTCTCACATACTACCCACTGCATATAAAATGCGCCGTTAAACTTTTGTTGCGAACTTTCAAATAAAATCCAATCTATCCAATTCTCTTTTGTATCGTTATATTGTGGAGATAACAAACGAAGTTTTTTTCACGAATAATAATGTTCATTCTAGGAATTTGCGTAGTTTCTTTGACGAGCCGAAATTTTGCTGGATTTTATGACGCAGAAGAAAACACCTGACCTTCAGATTAAAGAGTTGTATTATATAATTATTATAGTACTAGGAAAGCGAATTGAAAGTCCAATTTGAAAATACATGCAAATGTTAGATTGTGTCTACAAAACTACACACTAATGATCGTTTAGACCACAAGTACCTTTGGAAGAAAGTTTATTAAAAGGTATCCGTTCATCGGTGTCTGTCTCGCATGTTCGCATCGAAATTCTTAAATGATTTTGCACATTGTAATTTTTTCAAATTAGATAACGAAAATATTGAACATATCTTCTACAGCTTACAATCTTGAAGATTTGATTTAATATTTGCATAGTATAATTTTTTTAGCAACCGTGGGCTAAAAAATCTATAGCGTATAGATTTACCACTGAAGGACCTAGACCCGAGAAGTTGATAGTATATCCAAGATGAGTGTTTGACATTTAAATTGATACCAATTATGTTGTCGTATGTACTCGGATGTGGGAGCTACACTTAAATATTTATAGGTACTTACGTATTCATATATTATTTAGTAACCCATTACCGGAAATATAGCGCTGATCGCTTTGAAATGTTCCGTGAGGTTCCAGTTATGGTCAAGAACAACGCCTAAATTTTCGGCGATGATCAGATTATAATATTAAAATAAAGTGGACCAAAAACTTAATTTGTTGTGTTTTTTTTTTTCGAATCGAGCTATAGGCCACTATTGAAAACCGAACATCACAACACAACCCATGCTTAGAATATAGAACCACCGAAAGTTAGATTTTCGTGGAAGTTGCGTAGGGTATCATATGGTCGGCCCTGTCCGACTATACTGCTCCGCTCACTGGTTTATTACTGAGTATTGAAAAATCTTATTGGGAAAATTCACTCAGTAAAGATATGTACAAGTAATTTTACAGTTTGAAGAAGAATCACTTTCTGAGTCGATTTATGCATGTCCGTCTGTCCTTCTGTCTGTTTATGTTAAATTTTAAACAAAGTACAAGTCGCATTTATTATTCGAATTGGATGAAATTTGACACTTCATTTGCCCAAGGACGAACCCTATTGAAATGGGGAAAAATCAGTTCAGATTTAGATATAGCACCAAAGTCCTCAAAAAATTTCTTTCAATTTGCACGAAATTTGGCACAGCATACTGACTTGAGCCTATAATGATGTGTGTTATGTTTCGTGAAAATCGGTTCAGATTTAGATATAGCTCTCATACATATTTTCGTCCGATTTAAGGTAAATAGGGCACCAAAGTCCTTAAATATTTTTCGATTTGCACGAAATTTGGCACAGAGTACTGAAATAAGCCTAAAATGATGTGTGCTAAGTTTCGTGAAAATCGGGTCAGATTTAGATATAGCTCATGTGTATTTTTGTCCGATAAAAGGTAAATGGTGCACCGAAGTCCCTATATATCTTTCG